AGAGGAGCACGTGAGCTGAGGTTTTCAGTGGATGCTTTTCATCCGATTAAAAGGACAAACCTTGAAGATCAGGGGAAAAATTAATGAGCATACGGCGTTTTTATGATTTGTGTATCAATATTGCTGCTGTGTGTTTCTAGAATTTCCAAAGGTACACCTTATTAGCTGTATAGCAGACATCTGAGAAGTGTAGAGCGAACAGTATAGATCCGTATCTCCTTGTGTGAGTATGGATTTGTTGTTCCACTCCTTGTTTAATGTGCAAATAGCACCTCTTTGTATGTTTATGGTACAAATTCATGAAGTGCGGGGTATAGGAGGCTTCTCTGTTCTGTGACCTGTCCTGTCTCCTAAAATACCCCAGCTAGAGAGAATCCAGGATGAAGAGAAGGGGGTCACATGCAAGAACAGTCCCTATGTGCTCCCTGCGTACCTCCTCTATGCTCCCCTGTTGCCCCCTAGGAGCCCTCTATAAATACCAGATCCTTCCAGGTATGAAGGAGTATATTATTATTATTATTATACAGGATTTATATAGCGCCAACAGTTTGCTCAGCACTTTCCAATATAACGGGAGACAATACAGCAACAATACAGTTCAATACAAGAGGGTTAGGAGGGCGCTGTCCCTTGGAGCTTACAATCTAACATGGCCTGCTTCCTGGATGCAGTACTTGGGACTGAGCAGCCACTTCACAGACCTGGACACAGTCACTTGTGGAGGTTGACGTTAGCGCCATGCAAACTACAATGCCATATATTGTTTGGACAAAGGAACAAAATACCAAATTATCATTGGGTGTGGGAAAACTGCAATTCATGCGCATTTTCTGCACTGCATTTACAATTGCACTGCCCTTGCGAACTGCAGGGGGTGTCAGTACAATGTTAATGACACCCCAAACACAGAATGCAAATGCGTTTCTAAAATTGGTGCGGGCACTACTTTGGTGCGATGCAGTGCAATTTTATGCCCTTTCAAAATGAATGGGCTCAAATCGCACCACACTAAATTGCATGTGAATTGCATAGGGATGCGGCGCGGTTCCTGTGAGATTAATAGTGTAAATTTCGACTTACTGTGACAGATGAAGTATATACATTCTAAGACAAATCTGTGCCCAGTGTACCAAATTGTCTTCAGCAAGGCTTTGTTCAGCCCATTTAGTTCAAATCAATTCATCATCTTCCCAAGACATACTATTAGATTAATTCTTCTTTCATACATAATTGGCTGTAAAGTATATAAGCCATTATATAACTGTTTTGAATGCTGGATTGTAAGCTTCTTTGCATCCAGCATCCATAAAAACTGTATTTACCATTATGGCACTCATAGGTTGACGCCAAAAGCTGCATTGTTGGAGGATTCAGTATCAAGTCTCAAAATTGTGGAAGCATTTTCCTTCTTTGTTTCTTTTGGTCACCTTTTTGATAGAGATTGGAGATCAGGGGCGGACTGACAACTCATGGGGCCTCCGGGCAATAGGGGATCATGGGGCCCCTGTGTCCTTGCAAAAACTCACAAAAGCCTATGGAAAAGGTACCAGGGGCATCTCATGGGGCCCCCTACTGTCCCCGTGCCCTCGGGGAGTGCCGAGTTTCCAAATGGTCAGTCCGCCCCTGTTGGAGACTAAGGGGTTTATTTACTAAAGCTGGAGAGTCCAAAATCAGACTCCCTTCTGCTTAGAAACCAATCGGCTTCTAACCTCAGCTTGTTCAATGAAGCTTTGGCAATGAAACCTGGAAGCTGATTGGTTTCTATGCAGAAGGGAGTCTGATTTTGGACTCTCCAGCTTTAGTAAATAAACCCCTAAGTGTTGGTTCACACTAGTGAGAATTCTGATGTAACTTGAGTTGCACAGAATCGTATGACGAAGGAAATCACATTATGTTTAATGGTGCCTGTTCAAATCGATGCGTCACGGCGCAATTTTGCAAAAGGTTCCTGTGCTACTTTGGTGCGATTTACAGTGCAACCTGGCCCTATAGTTGCACTAAAATTGCAACAAAGTCGCACTACATAATTGCACTGGAAATCGCAGCAAAATCACATCGCTGTAGTGTGAACTGAGCCCAACTTTGGACAGGACCTATAATAATCACATGACATAAGGGGCGGGGCTTGTACAGAAGCAGTTTATTCGTTAGGTGTATTCGTCCCCAGCGCTGATGTAATTGGCTGAAAGCCATGATCTATTGGCACTACATCGGAAATTAAAATGATACTCCTCTCCATTAGAGATAATGACTACAAATGATATCCGGCAATAAAAGCTGTTGTGAAACTTCCTGTGTAACCGTGCTACAACCCGCCAAGCCCGATGCTCCCTTAGCTGATGGTGTGGGATTCAGTTCTGGGCTGCAATCCATAAAAATTCTGAAACATGGAGGAATGTGCATCTGTGAAATGACACCAAATAAATAACAGAGTGGAAAATATATAAATTCTGAGAAAAAGCCAGGAAGACTAGTGATGTTTACATACAGAAGACCCAGCTGGGAAACATCATGACATTATACAGTCTCAATATATGGCCCCTCCAGACACAATCGGGCGAAGCGTCACTTTTGAATTTATTGCTGGCGTCCTGGTGCTTTCTAGTGTTTGAGGGACTGGCGCTCCCAGATTCTATCTGGATGTCATTTACACAATCTTGCTTCACAAAATAGGCATGAGACCATTATTTAAAGTTGCTCTGTCGTTAATATTTACAATTAATTTGTCCTAATAGGGCACATGTAATCGTAACAATATCATATTTTCATCATTATTTTGAATACATTTTTCTTATAAATCCGCCATGTGACTTGAAGCCATGGCAGAAGATCACAAGGCCTGTGGGTAGCAGGAACAATGAGGAGGCAGTCTATTGTTTTCTGTCAGACTGTCCATGCCTGGTAGATTTCTAAGGAGATAAATGGGTTTGAAAGGCACACCACTGTGCATTATTACTTAACAGGAGGCAGAACTGGCATATATAACAGGCCCCCCCCCCCCCCCCCCATGTAAATACTGTATGTCAGAAATGTCAACCCGGAAAAAATATTTATAGGGTATTAAGAGGATGGCAAACAAATTGGGTGAGGCTACTTAGAAAAAGGGGAATTGCTTCTCATGGATATATGTTGAAAAATGCTAACCAAATCCCATTATACTTGGCTTCGGCAATGTGGTTCAGGAACCTACATCAGGTTGGGTAGCACTCTTCTCAGTCAGAGCCTTCCCTGTAGGCTTAGATGGTGGAAATGATCATCTCTGACCACACGCCCCCTTCACCAGCACCCTTTCTATTTCACCAACGTATCACCCAAAACTTATCCTTTTTCACCAACCTGCCACCCTGAACCCCTGACCACACTCCCCCGCCATTAGCACCCTTTCTGTTTCACCCACCTATCACCCAGAACTCCTATTTCACCAACCTGCACCCCTGACCACACTCCCCCCGTCATTAGCACCCTTTCTGTTTCACCCACCTATCACCCAGAACTTCTACTTCACCAACCTGCCACCCTGCACCCCTGACCACACTCCCCCCATCACCAGCACCTTTTCTATTTCACCCACCTATCACCCAGAACTCCTATTTCACCAAGCTGCCACCCTTCACCCCTGACCACACTCCCTGTCAACAGCACCCTTTCTGTTTCATCCAGCTACCACCCAAAACATATCCTATTTCACCACCCTGCACCCCTGACCACACTCCCTGTCACTAGCACCCTTTTTATTTCACCCACCTACCACCCAAAATGTATCCTATTTCACTAAGCTGCCACCTATCACCCCTGACCGCACTCCTTCAGTCACTAGCACCTTTTCTGTTTCACCCTCCTACCACCCAAAATGTATCCTATTTCACCAACCTACCACCTATCACCCCTGACCGCACTCCTTCAGTCACCAGCACCTTTTCTGTTTCACCAACCTACCACCCAAAACGTATTCTATTTCACCAACCTGCACCCCTGACCACACTCCCCGTCACCAGCACCCTTTCTATTTCACCCACATACCACCCAAAATGTATCCTATTTCACCAACCTACCACCTATCACCCCTGACCGCACTCCTTCAGTCACCAGCACCTTTTCTGTTTCACCAACCTACCACCCAAAACGTATCCTATTTCACCAACCTGCACCCCTGACCACACTCCCCGTCACCAGCACCCTTTCTATTTCACCAACCTGCCACCCTGCACCCCTGACCACATTCCCCCAGTCAACAGTACCCTTTCTATTTCCCCCACCTATCACCCAGAACTCCTCCTATTTCACCAACCTGCCACCCAGCACCCCTGACAGCATCCCCCCCATCCTATTTCACCCACCTGTCACTCAACACCCTTGACAGCCTTCCTGAGTCACCTGGCATCCCCCCACCCTGTCACAGAGCACCCTTTCTAACCCACCCAGCACCCCTGAAAACAAACCTTCTATCACCCTTGATAGCATTTCCCTAACACCAAACACCCTTGTCACTGCTCCTGCTGACACCACCTCTCTGCTCCCCCTTGTCACCCAGCACCCTGACCTGTCATACGGCACTAATGACACCCATCAAGCACCCCAGCATCACTCTCCTTCACTGTGCCTCTCACTTTGATTAAGAAGTCCCTGCATGACCCTGAAATGCCATTGGTTCTATGTCTTCCACGTAATCAAGGTTGTTCTCTTGCAACTACAGGTATGCTGGCTTCCACTTTTCAAATGATATCTGTGTGCTGGGCATTCTTAACATAAGTGCTCTAGATATTCTGGTATGAAGCACACTTGAAAGCTGCACCTGCCCACCTAGAATGCAGTGCATGGTGCCTGGACAGCCCAGTCTGAGTGCTGTCACATGGGGGCCTTTGCTTAGCTTTGTGCAGGCATTGATCATTCTATTGCAAGCTTTACCCTGGCATACCATAATGTGACAGCTTGATTATACGCCTTCGATAAATGTTTCTGCTTTATAATTGTATAACAATTTCCATTTGCTGATTTTTGCAGGCTCAAACAATGAATTACGTGGGTCAGCTGGCTGGACAAGTATTTGTTACTGTGAAGGAGCTGTACAGAGGCCTGAATCCTGCTACTCTCTCTGGCTGTATAGATGTCATAGTAGTTCGTCAGCCCAATGGCAACCTGCAATGTTCACCCTTTCATGTACGTTTTGGGAAGATGGGAGTTCTGCGCTCCAGGGAGAAAGTGGTAAGGATGTGTTAATATAATTATCATTTTTTTTACTACAGTTAATGTGCGGACCCTAAGATGGAGACATTTTGGATCAGTTTTTTTGCATGTTGGTTAGGATTTTCACGTTTAAAATACTAAATTATCAGCAGCTACTTTCTTGAATTGTCTATTAAGCAGGCCTTCTTTTGGAGCTGCCCCCACCTCCTATCCCCGTCTCATATTCATTACTGTTTATGTGCCTGCCAGGGGCAGACTGACAACTCATGGAGCCCCCCGAGCAATAGGGGATCATGGAGCCCCTATGTCCTTGCCCAAACTCAAAAAAGCCTATGAAAAAGGTACCAGGGACATCTCATGGAGCCCCCTACTGACCTTGGGCCCCCGGGCAGTGCCCGAGTTTCCAAATGGTCAGTCTGCTCCTGGTGCCTGCCCTTCCTAGATTTAGCCCCTGTACATTCTGGGGGACATTTATTAATTCTGTCGCATAGCCAAGCAATGCTAAACAGATGCAGTGACATTGATCATGATACAGATTTATTACATTGCTACTTGATTCTTAAAGCCCAAGTTCAGGCACAACCATAAAATACCATTGCAGTGCCTTCCCTCCCCACGCTGCAAGAGTTATATGCTCATTAAATTCAAGGGGTTGCAGAAGAGGCTCGATTACTTACCTTTTCCTCACTCCAGCAGGTTCCCTTCAGCAGTGTGCTATTCCTCCTGCAACATCCTCTTTTATGCTGCTCCCAGCCGAGGCTGCACTGCTGACTCCACCATGGACAATGCAGGGTTAAAAGCCCTGCATTGTACGTGATGAAGTTGAGGGTCTGCTCACAGACCAGAGCTCCAGGGAGAAGAGAGCTGCGTTGGAGCCTGCTGCAGCAGGAAGTTTGGTACGTAGTCGGGTACACTTCTTGTTCTGCTTAGGCTTAAAGGGTACGTTCATCTTTTAGAACATGTTGCACCAATATTTAGGGCACAACATATAGGATATTCTTGTTCCATCCCTCACTGCCCCTCTGTCAGTGTGACAGCGGGTGGGGGTTCCTCTCCCCCCACCCGCTATCAGATTTTGAAAACTACCAGTCACGTCCTCCACTGCAGCAAACAGACTTGCCCCACTATATCCAAAACTAACAAAACGTTTTGCCTATTGATACACTTTAATTTATAACAGACTAGACTTAAAATAACCTGTTATTTGCCACTAGGTGGACATTGAAATCAATGGAGAATGTGTGGATCTCCACATGAAGTTGGGGGACAATGGCGAAGCCTTTTTTGTTGAGGAGACCGAGGGTAATGAGGTAGGTCATTCTTCGAGTGTAATAGTGATAAACAGGGCTTTTTTTTTCTCAGAGAATTGGTGAAGGAACTCCTCACCTTTTGAGTCACTCCTTGTCTCTGCCCCCTACCCACCTCCAGGGACTGTCCCTTGGTTCCACTCCCTTCCCACCTCCCAGTACAGCCCCCTTTAAAGAATACAGAACCAATTATAATTGGTTATCATTTTGTGGTGCTAAGCAATTTGTATGTAATCTGTTAATAACTAGAAAAGCCGTAAAATACAGTAGATCCCCTGGAGGCAGAAACAATTGATCCCCCACACAATATACCCCCCAGCAACGATGCACCCCCCCCACAACAAAATACCACCCCAGCAACCATAGACCCCCAGCAGCAATAACAGATCTCCCAGCAGCCAGCATCAATAGAATCCTCCGTCAACTGGAGATCCCTCCTAACAACAACTGACCCCCCAGCAACAATGGACCCCCATGCAAAAATAGATTCCCACCATTGACAATAGATCCCCCAGCAGCCGGTATCAATAGACCGTCCAGCATACCCAAGCATCCCTTGCCATTACATAGATTCAGTGCTGGAGGTGCCGGAACTACGTTCCCCCATATTCCTGCTGAAAAAAAGCCCTGGTGATAAAACTCTTGGGAATTGAAGTATATATTCTGTCTTGGACGCTTTGGTCATTCATGGTATTGCTCTGCTATATAAAACTGTATCCGTCATCCTGGTTGAGAATGTGACTCCGCTCCTTTACTGCTTAGGCCAGTGAGGCTGTACATCATTATGATGGACCAATAGTACAGAGCAAGAGGAGGTGGGCTAAGCTGTATGTTGAGAACGCTGATCAGTTATTGCATCCTTGAGATTCAAAGTGCCAATATACTCAATAACTAAGCTGAGCTCAGGGGCAGTTGCCGTAATCTGCATGTTGCAGTGCTGGCAATTTAGGAATTTCAGTGTCTATTTCAAGTTCGCTTTAAAATATAGTACAGCCATTCTCCATCAGGGTTCCTCCAGAAGTTGCCACGACTTCCTCGAGCTGTGGCTAACTAACCTTCCATCTGATGGTACCTTCATAGTTCCAGGTCCAAAGCCACTTGGCCAAGCCAAAAGAGGTGACATTCTGGCCACCACTGTAAGTGGGGCATTCTTCTTCCCACTGCCTGCCCCCCCCCCCCCCCCAACAGTGTAAAGGGCATTTTCCTAATAACCTCTGACGGACTAATCTTCAAAGGTTTCCTGAGACCTGAAAATCATGTTATAGGTTCCTCTGTGATAAAAAGGTTGAGAAAGGCTGGTATATTAGGAGAATGTGGGTGAATATGCAGCAAAACAATACTGTGTGTTAGTAAGGAGTTAGCGCAGTGGGTGTGTGAGTCTTAAGCTGCAATATGATAAATATTTTCTTTTGAGTTTCATACTGCTTTACCAGTACTTCGATGTGGTGGCTGCTTTAGTTTTCTTTATTTAGGCTTTTTCTCCTCCTAGATTGTAAGCTCGAAAGAGCGGGGCCCTCGAACCCCTCGTGTATTGTATTGTTACTGTCTTGTCTCATGTTCTGTCCCCCACTATAATGTACAGCGCTGAGCATACCCTTTGGCGCTATATAAATACTGTATAATAATAATATTTTCACCTGGCAATCCAGCCAGTTAGTCTGTTTTTTTTTTTTTTTTTTCAACCTATTCTAACAGAGCAAGCTGTTCAGACATAGTAGTAGTTAGAGAGTGGAGACTGACTGTTTAACACTGACAGAGATGTTTACAATGGTCAGATTATATTCATTTATTTAAAACCTTTATTTGGAAAGGAACAAAACTGTTTTCTGTAACTGCTTAAAAAGTGTTAGCTGGAGTTTGGCTTCAAACTGATAGTGCAGTGGTTGTCATCCCACAAGGTATGGGGGGCCTCAAATGTGGTCCTTGACCTCACCAAAGGAACACATATAATATTCTGTATATGTAATGCTAGAAAACACAGTCAGAAAATGCAGACATAATAGAAGTGGTGATGGAGGTGCAGAAGAAGTCATGCAGGTTTGGTTGGAGACTGGGGACATGCTGCAGAACATACTATACAAGGCTAGTAAAAATCATTGCTGTTACCACATTAAAAATCAATGTGCTCATTCCCACTACAGACTGCTGGGGTCTGAGGGCCGCACAACAAGTACCAAAGGTCCACATGTGGACCCTGGGCTGCAGGTTGGGCACCAATGTGTTACTATATCTAAATCTGGCAGTACATCTAAATCTGGGTATACACATGCAGTTTCTTTTTTTTTCGTTTAGCCAGCGAGTTGAACAAAAATAACCTGACAGACCCCCCGCATCAACACATACGATGTTGATGCAGGGATCTCTCCCGTTGTTCTGTTGTATTCTAACAGGGGCACATTACCCCCTCCCCCCCCATCAGAATACACAGATCAGAGCTTGCATCCATTGCTTATGTGCTCTGGTTGAATGCTGGTTTTCCAGCATGATCGTTATTACACCGGCATCTGTTGAACAGACAGTAGTACACACGTGCCTGTGTACCCCACACTACCCCATTCCAGAGGTGTCTCTGTCGCTCCTTCACACAGAGTGTACAGTAGGCAGTCAATACAGGAGTTTTGCTACTGTCCAAATCACCAGGGGGAAACCAGGTAAAAAAGCCTAAGAAAAGAAAACTAATGCAGCCACCATATCTAATGATTGGTAAGTTGCAATATATCACATTTTTGGTTTTGGGTTTAATACCGCTTTAAAAGCTAGGGCACCACAGTGGCTAAATGGTTAGCACTTCCGCCTGGCAGTACTAGGGTCGTTGGTTCGAATCCCATCCACGGCACCACCTGCCTGGAGTTTGCATGTTTTCCCTGTGCCTGCGTGGGTTTCCTTCGGGTACTTCGGTTTCCTCCTACACTCCAAAGAAATGCTGGTAGGTTAATTGGATCCTGTATAAATTGTCCCTAGTATGTGTATGTATGAATGTGAGTTAGGGACCTTAGATTGTACACCCCTTGAGGGCTAGGGACTGATGTGAATGTACAATATATATATGTAAAGCGCTGCGTAAATTGAAGGCGCTTAATAAGTACCTGAAATAAATAAAATAGAAATTAAAAAAACAGCCATATTGTACTAGACATATTAGTGTCACCCTTCTCCCTGCAGAGATTCCAGCCATCAGAGTGAAGAATATACTAGAAGTTCTCTCCTATTTGTGAAGGTGACATGAGTAATTAGTCAGCTTCTATTTTCTAATGTCTTTGCTCTTTGACATTCTTCAGAATACAGGCTGGTCACATTCATGTAATACCCCAGTGATTTCATGGGTCACAGACAGACGTGGTTTTGTCTTCTCTTGGCTGGCTCCTCGGTACACAAGGGCCTGTCCGGAGTGGGTAGGGAATTTCTTGGCAAGGTCTGTGAAATGCTGAACTATAAGCAGCTACTTTCCTGTTGATATACCAGACAGATAAATGAATAGTCTCTTACACAGGCCCCTCTGATGGTGGTGTCCTAATAGATGTCTCCTGATTACATTTCTCCCTTTAATGGCCTGGTGACTATTGGACAAGTTTCTGAAAATATGCTCACTGACCTCCTTCTGGCAGGACATACAGTCTCTGTGTAACCTGTGATATGTTGACAGCAGCCTAATGCAACAAGTTGACATTGTGTCCATGGCTAATGCCATTAGCAAACAGTGCAACTATGCTAAATGTCCACTCACCAACCACTTTATTAGGTACACCTTGCTAGTACCGGGTTGGACCCCCTATTGCCTTCAGAACTGCCTTAATTCTGCGTTGCATAGATTCAACAAGGTGTTGGAAACATTCCTCAGATATATTGGTCCATATTGACATGAGTTACTGTTGCCTTTCTATTATCTCGAACCAGTCTGTCCATTCTCCTCTGACATCAACAAGGCATTTTCCTCCACACAACTGCCGCTCACTAGATATTTTCTCTTTTTCAGACCATTCCTTGTAAACCCTGGAGAGGGTTGTGTGTGTGAAAATCCCAGTAGATCAGAATTTTTTTTAAAATACTCAGACCAGCCTGTCTGGCACCAACAACCACGTTATGTTCAAAGTCACTTAAATTCCCTTTCTTCCCCATTCTGATGCTTGGTTTGAATGTCAGCAAGTTGTCTTTACCACGTCTAGATGCCTAAATGCATTGAGTTGCTGCCATGTGATTGACTGATTAGCAATTTTTGTTACCAAGCAATTGAACAGGTGTACCTAATAAAGTGGCCAGTGAAAGTCCACATTGCTGTTAATGATATGATTTTACCACTACAGCTGTATTCCAGTTCTGTTGGTTTTGCAACACAAATGCTTTTAATTGGCACAGATGTTTTCAGTACTTGTACCAGTAGGTTGTACATTTTCTGTGCCAACAAGCGTATGGCACTCATGTGAATGTTGACCATATGCTTCTAAGCTTGCCATCAGCCATTCACCACCTGCCGATTCAAGTGGCTAAATGCTTGGTGGAAACTGGATAAGAATGCCTTTGCATTGCAATGAAGTTGATCATTTTCCACTTTGGTTGTATAATGTCTATTCACATCTTGAATACTATGAAACAGATTGCTCTCTACCTTTCCAAGTGACAGTGTCAACTGTTTTTTTTTTTTTTTTTTTTTTAATAAATTGAAGACTGTAGAGAGTTTCTTGAATCAGACAGAACTGCCAAAGTGAAGGGCCAGTTCCAGACCATGTGATATTATACTGAGATGATTCAGTGTGGTGATAATCATTGTATTATCATTGTATTGTAAAGCGCTGAGCAAACTGTTGGTGCTATATAAATCCTGTATAATAATAATATAATAATACCAAAAATCTAGAAACAAACCTTAAATATAGTGCTCAGCTTATGTCATGGCCTTCTAAAGTGGCACCTGATCCATACAGCAGCTACCTCCAGGCATTTGTTTGCATCTTCACATTATCCTCCGAGAAGCTGTGCATACCCTCCAGCACATGAGGAATACCAACCACAGCTTCTGTGGTCCATATCTGCTCCCCCAGTTCCTGCAGCCTTCCTATTAGTCCGCAAGGCCGCTCATTCCATTTGGTGACCAATAGAAATGCATAGGAGGAGATGGGCCAAGGATAAGCCAGGAAAGCTTGTCCGTATTTGATAGTAGAATGTCTAGGTTATGGGGTTGCTTAGGCACTCTAAGGATAAACTGGGATACCTGTTTTTTTGGACCTGGGGCAACCTTAACCTTTAACCTCTTATTTAATGTGTACCAAACATTTCTCATACAGGAAACAAACCTAGACAGTAAGGGTAGAAAACAGTACTGCTGCCATCACTGAATATGCCAGGGAAAATATCTATTGCAAATATAACTGATCTCTCTTTTTGAGTTATCTGCCTCTTTTCTGAAGATTTCTGAAATAGAAATGTCCCCAGAATGCACTGGCCATGCTTATATTCCCCTAGAGCGGGGGGTCTCCAACCTTTCTAAACTAAGAGCCAGTTTACTACCCTTCAAATTTTAGAAGGGCCAAACTGTAGCCAGCAGGAGTAGAACATGTCTTCGTGTCAGTGGGAGTAAACAGTGTCCCCTTTTTGGTATTAGGAGGACAAACCGTGCCCCATCGTTGGTGTCGGTGGGAGGAATAGTGCCCCATTAGGGGTGTCAGTGAGAGGAATAGTGCCCCCTTGTCGGTGTCTGGGGCAGGAACTATGCCCCACTGTTGCTGACAATAGGGGGAATATTGGTTCAAGGGCCGGATAAAAGCAGGCACATCCGCCCCCAGGACACAGTTTGGAGACCACAGCCTTTTTGTTTTGGTAGATATGGCCATCTTGTGTTGTAATTTAGTATATTCTTTAGGACTTTATCTCACTTGTATTTGAAGACTAACAGTGATGTTCCGGTTTTGTGGTTCAGCACCAGTTCAGTTCAAAAGTCCACAATTTTTAATAGAAAACTTAATCAGACATAACAGCTGCTCCAAGCGTGTGGGACACAACCCCGCGGGGTGCCCACACATCTTTACTATTATTATTATTACAGGTACTTGTATAGAATCATCAATTTATTCAGCTCTTTACATATATATATTGTACATTCACATCAGTCCCTAACCCTTAAGGAGAGTACAATCTAAGGTCCCTAACTTACATTCATACATACACATACTAGGGCCAGTTTAGACAGGAGCCAATTAACCAACCAACATGTCTTTGGGAGGTGTGGAAGGAAACCAGAGTACCCGGAGGAACCCCACGCAGGCACAGGGAGAACATGCAAATCTTTATAGAACTGGTGGGGGATTGAATCTTTCCCTGCTTCTCCAAAACAGAAACCTCCTTTTCGCTTGAAGCTCCCCTTTAATGAACATTGCAATAAACATTTTATTATAGTTTGGTATGTTTATCTGTTAGTATAGAAAAGGTAGAGGTACCCTCTCAGTAACTAGGTTGTCTTGTGTTGTCACAGGAATCCATCCCGTCATACTTGGCAACCTCACCTATCTTACTGGAAGGAGCATCCCTCATGGAAGCCCAGCTGAAGAGAAGTTCAGTAGAGTGGACTAGAAGTCTGGACTCTGCAGGTTCTTCCCAGATCCCCGGAAATACTCACTTGTCCCAATCCAACACAGACAGTACCACAAGTGGATCTGTGAAGAAGAGACGGAAAAGAAGGAGGAAATCCAAGCTGGATAATTTAAAGAGAGACGATAATGGTGACACAACAGAAGATGATGACATGTTTACCATGGAGATGAGCTCAGAGGATGAGACAGAACCTTTGGAAACCGCCAGGTAGATTTCAAAGTGCTGGGGTTTTGCATTAATTCAAATTCCAGTTTTCCAGCTGATAAAACAGAAAATTCCAACCTTGAGGGCAGAACCCCAAAACTGATCAGCCATTATTTTGAGCCTCCTAAAATGCGGTGGTGTCCTTCATCTACCTGTTAGACCTTACTGTTGCTTGCCGTCTTTCTCTCTTTTTTTTGTATGGGTTTTTTTTTTTTTTTAATATTTTGATAGCCTGGTTCTCTTGTCTCACTTGAGTGGTAGACCTGCATGAATAGAGAGAAACAGTTCAAGTAGCCGTAAAGTAAAGGTAGAAGATTTTTTCGTTACCTTAAAACTGAACTTCACCCTAAAGGGAAAGTTCAATTTCATGCCTTCTTCCCACTCCCCTCCTTTTCTGCATTTGGCGCTTTTTTTTTTGGGTGGTGGTGGTGGGGGGCTCTTTCCCTGGTTTTAACAAGCAATCCAACAAGTTTGTTCCGCCTGCTGCAACCTTCTCAAAAGGCTGAGGGACCATTCACAAAGTGCAGTGGGCAGCTGGCTGTGGAGCTGTAAGGAATCATGCCGGTGTTGGGGACCCAAGGACTGGTGAAAAATCTGTTCCGGATCAGGACAGGTAAGCATCCTTTCATTAAAAGTAAGCAGCCACAGTAGAGATGAGAATCTGTCTTGGTAGTGTTACCCGCACACTCCGTGGATTGGTAAGTAGATGGTCTCCCTCCCAACTCCCCAGGTGCGGTGTGAGACTCGGTTACTCCCTGGGGTAGTCGGCCCTGTGGGGTCCCCTCCACCCTCCAGGTCATGGGTCTCCTTGTCCCTACCTACTCTCCTTTCTCCCTCTGCGGGTTGGGCAGTCCTGGGGTTCCCGGAGTGTCCCCCTTTGTGTAGTTGTGGGTCTGGGCTGGTCTCTACTGGGACACTTCCTTCCCCCTGGAGCTCTTACCTTTGCCCCTGCTGGGGCCTTGAAGCATCTGGCTGGTCGGGAGGGGGGCGGGGCAAAGGGGTGGAACACACTCCCCCCCCTACCCAGACATCCTGCTTCATGTTGTTGCCCAGCGTCCTCTTCCCTTATCTATACCTCCCAACTGTCCCTGATTTCGAGGGACTGTCCCTGATTTGGAACAAAGTCCCTCTATCCCTCTTTCCACCTCATTTGTCCCTGATCTATATAATTGTATACAAAATGCACCATTTCGCTTTCAAAAAAAGTCTTTCTCAGTTCTAAACCTTTCATCAAAGTTCGAAATTGCTTCATTTGTAAACTTCAAACCCCAATACAACAAAATAGTAGTAGTAAAAAAAAAAGCACTTGTTGGTTTAACTAATCTTTTTTTGTATAATTCTCCTTTAAGGGGGCAGCGGGGGGGGGGGGTGTCCTATGTCTACATACATTTGCTAATAGGTGTCCCTCGTTCCCATCTCAAAAAAGTTGGGAGGTATGCCATATCCCCTTCCAGGTCTGTGGGGGCGAGGAGTTACGGGTTGCTGTGAGTGGATCTCCATGGTGTGGGGGTCACTGTCATGCAGACTGCAGTGTCTGCTGGTGTTGGCCCACCCACAGGTCTGCATTTCACGCGGTCAGGCATTCACTAACTTAGGCTGCGGCTTGCAGCCTGCTGGAGGGGGCAGTGCTGTGTGGCTGGATGGCACCTGCAGTCGCCGTGCCCAGTGTCCTCCTGGCTGTGCTGGGGAGGAGCGGGCGGCTGAGGTGGCCATCTTGCTTTTGGGCAATGCCCTGCTCAGCTGTTTCTCTGTGCCCATTCACTCTCGCTGCATAAACAGTGGGCGGAACTGCCAATGCTATTGTTTGTGCCCTGCTGCTTATGTCGACAGCCATCCTTGAGTGGCCTCAGACAGCGGCCTTCTTTTGCAAAGACCCTTAGCTGGCAGCCCCCTTTTCATTGCCCCATAACTGGTGGCCCCCTTTGTGGAGCCCCCTGGATAGTGGCCTCCTTGGCTGGCCTCAGATTGCAGTTTCCATGGAGAGACAGCTGCCTCCCTTGCAGGGTCTCAAACAATGGCCTCCTTAGCAGGACTCAGCCATTTCCATGGGTGGGCGGCAGCTTCTTTTGCGGGGCCTCAGACTGGGGCCTCCTGTGGCGGCCTCCTCTGGAGAAGCCTCAGATGGCGGCCTCAGCCGGAGGCCTCCACTGCGTTGATGGCCAGCAGTTCTCCTTGAGGGGTCTGAGTTGGTATCCTCTTTGAGAGGCCTCAGTCAGTGGTCTCCACTTGCACGCCCTTTCCTGAGTGGCCTATGCTGGAGGCCTTCTATGCGTGGGCTCAGCCAGCGGCCTTGGTTGGCTGGTCTCCTACTGAGCCTACAGTCGAGCCTTTTTGGTATACAGGCTTGTGTCCATTAATGAACTCAGAGAAAGTGATTTTACAGTAACAAACAAATCCAATTTTTTTCCACTACAAAGACTCATGTAAAAATGTTTGCTTCCATCAGTGCTGCCAAAACTCCTCCACCCTCTTTTCAGACTGATCCTCGCCCTTTTTATTGGACATTTTTATTCAAAGTAAGGTCAGTAGCACTTATGCTTTTTTCCCTGCAGCTGCGTTTTTGTGTGCACAGCAGGCCATTCATTTGAAAACACAGGGAAAAGGTCCCTGAACCATTTCTAAAACCTCAACCACACGGAAACCACATGATGCTATGCATTTTTGTTCACAAGAAAACATCTTGCAGTTTCCAATGTGTGGGGGTGCCATTAAGAATTAAATTGGTTGTAAAGGTAAAAGATTTTTTTACTTTAATAACTTCTCTACATTAGGTAAAAAAAACTTTTGCATGCTTTTCTCTCTCCCAGCTCTCACAGGTTTGGCTGAGAGTAAGGCTACTTTCACACAGAGGAGTTTTTCAAGCATTTTTGCATTAAAAAAAGCACCTGAAAACCATTGCACAGAGCAGGTAAGTATAACATGTTTGTTATTTTAGTGACATTAAAAAAAAGAATCTTTAGTACCACTTTAATGACACCCCTGCGTGTCTGCTAAACAGCAGGGGGTTTTTGCGCATGCATGAACGTGTGCTATTTTACACACAATCCCACACCTGCAGAGATGTGAATCTACATTTAGAGTCTCTCACCACCTGATATGAGCACTTTTACTGTTTCCCTGTAACTATATACAGCACACGAATCTGGACATGGCTACATTTTACATGGGTAATTCATCTACAAAATATAAGGCTGCGTTTGCATTACAGTAGTGTATGAATGCACTCAAAATTGTGCTGTTTTGAACTTTCAGTGCCATTCATTAATGGATATGCATTTTTACACAAGAAATTTGCAAAATGTGCTGCTAACATACACTCAAAACTCAAAAAGATCCTGGCACTTCTTTTCCATGTCTTAGATTGTAAGCTCCAAGGAGCAGGGCCCTCCTATTCCTCTTGTATTGAACTGTATTGTTGCTGTATTGTCTCCCGTTTTTTTTATATTGTAAAGCGCTGAGCAATCTGTTGGCGCTATATAAATCCTGTATAATAATAATAGTAATGTTTGTGTATAGGGCAACTCATTGAATTGATAGGCCTGCCCTGTGCGCAAAATGTGACATTGGGCTAAGGGACAGCAATGTTGTGTTGAAGTACTGTAATCTGAGTATTTAGTGACATCTAGTGGAAAGATATCATGTTGCACCTAGGAAAAAAAAAAAAAAAACCTATCAGACACATAATTAAAAAGCAAATTTTCCCAAATGAATAAGGCTCCTGTTAGCATCACCAAATCTCATTTTTACTTTTATTTTAAAAATACTAATTTAAAAAAGGAAACTGTTATCTTTTGGGATTACTTTTAGTTGTTTTTTTCCACGTTTATACATTTTAAACTGTTTTATATCAAACAGTTAACACATAACATTTAACCACCACTATCTGCGATCTGGCCATTAATATTCTGACACATGGCTTCCTGTGCCATGAGAATGTTATCAAAGTTTTCAGGTGAGAGCTAGGAATGAGCACCTATCCAAATTCCCAGCTCTCTCATGCTGCTGTTTGTGTCTGGTCTTACCGTACTGATCAGAAAGCAATCTGTGTGGTTATGACCATGTGATCATCATGACAGCCAATCATTTTGATCACAAGCAGGCTGGAGGTTTATTTGCAAATGAACTTCTCAATCCTGCTGATAACACTTCAGCCCGAAACTGGCAATGTGCCTCTGTTTAATACTGTAGCTGTCATATGCAATTACAGTTTAAAAAAAATTAAGAAAATATTTTCAAATTTTTGTCTTTTGTCAGTCTAAGCAGGGTATTTATTAAAACAGTCTATCAAATAACAGCCTTATATGTTCTAAACAATGTAAAAATGGTTAACCTGACAACAACTCTATAACTAATTTTGCCTACCTAAATCACCACATGCTTCTATTGCTAAATTTGGTATGGGTGTCTAGGATTCAGTGATCTCTGTCCATGAAACGGTTAGTACATGAGAAAGTATTTTTACACAATTATGGGTTAACTAATGAGGTAGTGAGGCAGACCATTGTTTGTTTGAAGTGCTTTGAATCCTTGGACTTGGCAGTCTGATAAGGAATGTGTCACTGTGATGAGTCATCCACTTGGTTGTGCACATTTCAGCTTGAGCTATTGATTTCTGTAAACAGGTTTCTAGCAGATGGAGGGACCGTGGCTTACACAGTGAATGCAAAATATCAATATATATATATATATATATATAAATATAAAACTGACCATGATAAAGAGAATATAAGTATGAATTTTTATTTCAATCATAGATGAGAAAAGGAAATGAGCAAGCTATTGACAAGATATTTAAAACTTCTACCTTATTTTATAGATCATCTGTCCAGAACATTTTTAGTGACCGAGTCCCTGAAGTGAACCAGTCACAGAACACTTCCTTCAGTATACCTGAGAAGTACCCGCATTCTGATGGAGAGTGGACACCAGCCCAAAGGTTGGTACATAGATTGTTCTAATTATGGGTGAAGAGCACACAGGGCACAATAGACAAGGTTTTCGGGTCTACGTTTTTTAATCCAGACATTGCTCCACTCTGCTTCCTTTGGCCATTGATCTTTTCAGATGAAAGACAGTCTCCCAATCTGCACTGAAAGAATAGTAATAATGGATTGTTTCCAATGCACAGTTAAAGCACACACATGGCTTTTTGAAAGTGAAAAATTACTCTAAAGCAGTCACCTTTGAGGGTATCAGCTTACATTATCACTTTTGTTGCTTTTCAAGTGTACCAGGAGCCGCAAAGCTTGGGCACTTGATATGCTTTACTGCAGCCAGAGCTGGCATAGTCATATGTATGTGTCTGGATACATTATTTAAAGGTACATATTCACTTCCTTTGCATAAAGTAAATTGATAACTAATAGTGTAGAGCAGGCCTTGAAATTTCCACTCACCTGCTCGCCAATGGCGAGTGGAAATTATGGTGGGTGCCAGTGTGTCCCCCAGGGCCATCTTGCTGAGCAGGCTCAGAGCTCAGGCCAGATCTCATTGGTACTGGGAGCCGTCAGACTGCTCAATAGCTGAGCGCAGTGAAAGCATAGCAAGGAGAGTGTGCTGTGCTCTCTGCCTCCCCCTAGAGTGCAGTACCCGGATCTGTGAGTGAACAACGAAGTACTGCAACTTTTTATAGTGTTTGTGTGTGTGTCTGTGTATGCATGTACGTGTGTGTGTGTATGTATGTGTGTGTACATGTGTCTGTGTGTATGTATGTGTGTGTACATGTGTCTGTGTGTGTGCTTGTATGTATGTGTGTGTGCATGTACGTGTGTTTGTGTGTGTATATATGTACATGTGTCTGTGTGTACATGTGTCTGTGCGTGTGTATTTCTGTATATGTACATGTATCTGTACGTATGCGTGTCTGTATGTGTATGTGTGTGTATACATGTTTCTGTATACACACACAAAGATGAGTGATTCCACATTTGATACTTTTCTCATTAAGATTCCATTTAAAACATTAGAAAAATAAAATAAGAAAAGGGAAAGAACTGTACAGAAAAATAGGAACGTGTGAAACCCGTAAACCAAACCATCAGAGTCAGACCTTTTATTACTTCCGGCTGGGGCCCGAGGGCCACACGATAAGTACAAAGGGGCCACAGGATGCAGATTAGGCACCATGAGTTTAGACACACAATTGTCAATGGTAACATATACTATTAGACTGAAGGTATATTTTGATGTTTTGGGTCAGTCCTCCAGGTTCCCGTCCTGCAACACCTAAGAGTGACTCTGAGCTGGTCAGCAAAGCACTGGATCGAGGAATGGCAGCCAGCGAGATCCCAATGCACTGGGCCTGGGGGGAGCTACCTAAGGCTACCAAGGTAGGTAACAGATATTTGTGAATTACTGTGTGCCTTGGGATGATGGTTACTGATTTTCACTAATTAGAGGTTTTCAAGAAGACAAACAGATTTGGGAATCATCATTTGTTGATGATTGTGATACATTACACTGGCCATTAATTGTCTGTTATCTTTCCAAGGATGATGAATGCAGAAATCATGTCTTAACATGACTTAATAAAGTTAGTCTTTTCTATAGACAAAATATGTAACAAAAGCAAGTGTGTGTGTATGTGTGTGTATATGTGTATATATATATATATATATATATATATATATATATATACACACACACAGTGGGGCAAAAAAGTATTTAGTCAGCCACCAATTGTGCAAGTTCTCCCACTTAAAAAGATGAGAGAGGCCTGTAATTGGCATCATAGGTAGACCTCAACTATGAGAGACAACATGAGATAAAAAATCCAGACGATCACATTGGCTGATTTGGAAAGAATTTATTTGCAAATTATGGTGGAAAATAAGTATTTGGTCACCTACAAACAAGCAAGATTTCTGGCTCTCACAGACCTGTACCTTCTTCTTTAAGAGGCTCCTCTGTCCTGCACTCATTACCTGTATCAATGGCACCTGTTTGAACTTGTTATCAGTATAAAAGACAACTGTCCACAACCTCAAACAGTCACACTCCAAACTCCACTATGGTGAAGACCAAAGAGCTGTCGAAGGACACCAGAAACAAAATTGTAGACCTGCACCAGGCTGGGAAGACTGAATCTGCAATAGGCAAGCAGCTTGGTGTGAACAAATCAACTGTGGGAGCAATAATTAGAAAATGGAAGACATATAAGACCACTGATAATCTCCCTCGATCTGGGGCTCCACGCAAGATCTCACCCCGTGGGGTCAAAATGATCACAAGAACGGTGAGCACAAATCCCAGGACCACACGGGGGGACCTAGTGAATGACCTGCAGAGAGCTGGGACCAACCTAACAAAGGCTACCATCAGTAACACACTACGCCACCAGGGACTCAGATCCTGCAGTGCCAGACGTGTCCCCCTGCTTAAGCCAGTACATGTCTGGGCCCGTCTGAAGTTTGCTAGAGAGCATTTGGATGATCCAGAAGAGGATTGGGAGAATGTCATATGGTCAGATGAAACCAAAATAGAACTGTTTGGTAGAAATACAACTCGTCGTGTTTGGAGGAGAGAGAATGCTGAGTTGCATCCAAAGAACACCATACCTACTGTGAAGCATGGGGGTGGCAACATCATGCTTTGGGGCTGTTTCTCCGCAAAGGGACCAGGACGACTGATCCATGTACAGGACAGAATGAATGGGGCCATGTATCGTGAGATTTTGAGTGCAAACCTCCTTCCATCAGCAAGGGCATTGAAGATGAAATGTGGCTGGGTCTTCCAACATGACAATGATCCCAAACATACCACCCGGGCAACAAAGTAGTGGCTTCGTAAGAAGCATTTCAAGGTCCTGGAGTGGCCTAGCCAGTCTCCAGATCTCAACCCCATAGAAAACCTTTGGAGGGAGTTGAAAGTCCGTGTTGCCCAGCGACAGCCCCAAAACATCACTGCTCTAGAGGAGATCTGCATGGAGGAATGGGCCAACATACCAGCAACAGTGAGTGCCAACCTTGTGAAGACTTACAGGAAACGACTGACCTCTGTCATTGCCAACAAAGGATATATAACAAAGTATTGAGATGAACTTTTGATATTGACCAAATACTTATTTTCCACCATAATTTACAAATAAATTCTTTCCAAATCAGCCAATGTTATTGTCTGGATTTTGTTTCTCATTTTGTCTCTCATAGTTGAGGTCTACCTATGATGCCAATTACAGGCCTCTCTCATCTTTTTAAGTGGGAGAACTTGCACACTTGGTGGCTGACTAAATACTTTTTTGCCCCACTGTGTGTGTGTGTGTGTGTGTGTGTGTGTGTGTGTATATATATATATATATATATATATATATATATGTGTATGTGTGTGTGTGTGTGTATGTGTATATATATATATATATATATATATATATATATATATATATATATATATATATATATGAAATGGCGATCGTTGCAACTTTTTTTATGTCACATGGTATTTGCGCAGTAGTTTTTCAAACACAGTTTACCACAATTGTTTTGTAAAATATGAAGGAAGATGTTACGGCAAGTAAATAGATACCGCCCGCTGCTACTGAAAGCAATCCAGTGGATAATGAGCTGCTCAGACCACTTTTATCAGACAGCCGCCGGCTGAAAAAAAAATATAATATATATATAGCCGGGTTATGGCTGATATCTTCAGCCATAACCCTGGTAAATCACTTGCTAACTGCAACGTGTGTATGTATATATGTGTGTGTATGTGTATATATAATATCCGTATTGTGGTTGGCAAGTGGATAATATATTCTGTATATAATTAATGACACTCTGTAATAAAAAAAAAAAAAAAGTGTAACAAAGATATTTACAACTGAAATAATTATTTTGAGCAGATGAAAAAAAAAAAAAAAAAAAAACTATAAAGAACAATGGAATAAATATTAAACATTTCAATATTAATGTACAAAAAGAGAGGGGCGGTAGGTGTTAATCAAGGATGGTTAGGGTAAATGAATCGTTATTAAGTGGTTACATAGCAAGATTTTTTTTAACTTTCAAGTTTGCCTTAAAGTGTTTTTAAAGGCAATTAATAAAATATTTATTAAAATACAACAATAAACATGTTACACTAACCCGCTCTTTTCTTTTCTCCCCTTTTCTCCCCGCTCACACAGGCCCTGCTGAGAGCAGCAGGAGCAATTGGTCCCGCTGCTGTCAGTCAAATCCTGCGACGACGTAGGAGTGATGGGCGGGGCCGAGCCTTGCGGCCTGTGTCAGTGGACATAGGAAGTAGGGCTCAGGATTGAGCCCGCAGGTGTGCCACCATAGGAAGCAGCTTCCTATGTTGTCACACCAAGAAGAGGAGACTTTATAATCACTTTAAGACCTATCCCTGTTCCTCAATATCTAACATCATGTACCCTGCTAATTAGGACCTTTTTGCCACAAGAACAGGACCCAATGTGTATAAGAGAACCACTAAAAGCAGTTTCATTTCACTGTTCAGCATTGAATCTAGTACATTTTGATAATAGGTAAAATTTAGTGGTGACAAGTTCCAATTTCGTTCATCCCTGATGAGAGAAATCACAATCCTTGATAAGTGAGCTTTGTGCCTTACAATCTATACAATACAAGGAGTTTAACCAGTTTGCTGCAGGTTCTTACCTCTGTTTATCACAAAGAACTTTAGAAAGTATCCCAACGATAAGCTTATTTTTTTTTTTTCTTTAATTACTGGCTGGCTCTATTTTAACTTCCAGCTTTATGCAGACCTGTGGGAAAAGTGGCAAGTCCAAAGCTAACAATCATGAACTGTGTGACTGTGACTTGAGAACCTTTAGGGCTCCTGTACATTTGCATCAAAATGCGGTATTTGACACACTTTTTGTGAAGCACTCTGAATGCCAATCAAAGCACTGTCACTAAATAAAATGATAAGCTTACAGTTCTGTTCATACTGTTGTGTTTGCTATGCTTCAAAAATGTTACCCATGGAGCTTTAAAGCATCTTCAAAGCCTCCATAGAAGTCTGACAATGCTCACTAACAGCACTTATGAGAGGCCTTTGTTCAGAGTGGCAGTACAGGTATGATATACCCCAGGATGCACTGGTAAACCATCAAGGGATCCAAAAAGATGTCATCAACAGTCACTTCTGGTTCACGGGTATATATTCTGGAAGTGTCTGGTGCAGATGACCCATCTGGTGTGCAGCGTGGAGCAACAAAAAAGTGAGCAGGGTCCGGACTGGAGGGTAGCAACTAGCAGATGGCACCTGTGGAATGCTATAGTGGAAGGTGAGCTGGGACCAGAGAGAGAAGACTGAGTCACAGAGGATCAGCAAAACTTGGGGGACTGGGACAGGAGGAACTAGCAGATGTCACGTGGTGCTCAGCATGGGAGCAATATAGAGGGAGGTGAGCGGGGAGGATCAGCAAACCAGATGATCAGTGGAGCTGGAGAGTATTACTGAGTGGGGGGGTGGGGGGTCAGCAGAGCTGGAGATTACTACTGAGTCGGGGATCAGCATAGCTGGGGGTTACTACTGAGGGGGGGGGGGGTCAGCAGAGCTGGGGGTTCTTACTGAGCAGAGGAACTGCAGAGCTGTGGGTTATTACTGAGTAGGAGATCAGCAGAGCTGGGGGCTTACTACTGAGTAGGAGATCAGCAGAGCTGGGGGTTACTACTGTGTGGGAGATCAGCAGAGCTGGGGGTTACTACTGAGTGGGAGATCAGCAGAGCTGGGGGTTACTACTGAGTGGGAGATCAGCAGAGCTGGGTGTTACTACTGAGTGGGAGATCGCCAGAGCTGGGAATTACTACTGAGTGGGAGATTGCCAGAGCTGGGAGTTACTACTGAGTGGGAGATCAGCAGAGCTGGGGGTTACTACTGAGTGGGAGATCAGCAGAGCTGGGGGTTACTACTGAGTGGGAGATCAGCAGAGCTGGGGGTTACTACTGAGTGGGAGATCAGCAGAGCTGGGGGTTACTACTGAGTGGGAGATCAGCAGAGCTGGGGGTTTACTACTGAGTGGGAGATCAGCAGAGCTGGGGGTTACTACTGAGTGGGAGATCAGCAGAGCTGGGGGTTACTACTGAGTGGGAGATCAGCAGAGCTGGGGGTTACTACTGAGTGGGAGATCAGCAGAGCTGGGGGTTACTACTGAGTGGGAGATCAGCAGAGCTGGGGGTTACTACTGAGTGGGAGATCAGCAGAGCTGGGGGTTACTACTGAGTGGGAGATCAGCAGAGCTGGGGGTTACTACTGAGTGGGAGATCAGCAGAGCTGGGGGTTACTACTGAGTGGGAGATCAGCAGAGCTGGGGGTTACTACTGAGTGGGAGATCAGCAGAGCTGGGGGTTACTACTGAGTGGGAGATCAGCAGAGCTGGGGGTTACTACTGAGTGGGAGATCAGCAGAGCTGGGGGTTACTACTGAGTGGGAGATCAGCAGAGCTGGGGGTTACTACTGAGTGGGAGATCAGCAGAGCTGGGGGTTACTACTGAGTGGGAGATCAGCAGAGCTCGGGGTTACTACTGAGTGGGAGATCAGCAGAGCTGGGGGTTACTATTGAGTGGGATATCAGCAGAGCAGGATACTAAAGAGCTGGAGATCTGCTGAGTGGGGGTACTACTGAGCTGGTGTTCTACTGGGCTCCTTTAAAACAAATAGAAAATCAACACACACACAACATTTCATTAAAGCTTCAAAAAAGTGTCACAGAAGCATCAAAAACACATCAAAAAGCATGTTGAATCGGTAGGCGCTTTAATGTGTGTTAAAGTTGAAGCAAGTGTAAACGAGCTCTTAGACACTCATTGTTGCTACCTCCTGTTGGTGGGAATGGCAAGTCCCAAGCGTTTTGCAGACGTATATCATGGTGGTTAAGTTCCTGTGGTCATGGATAGGTAGAAGTTCGGAAGGGATAATGTGTTGAAATGTTACAAGTCTAGTGAATTTTGGATCGGGAATTTCATACATTATGGCTAACATGTTAGCAACATAGGATGCATTTTTCATAAAGTCCATTTTCAACAGTTCATTCTGCAGTTTATAAATTTATTTTCTTGACTTTTTCCTTTTCAGTCTTCTCCACACAAAGTGAAGGACACAAGTGTTGTGAACATAAACCCCTCCAAAAGCACACATTTCAGGATCATACAAAGCACTTCTGAAGAAGGGAAAGTCATGTCACTTCCGACAGCTGCTGAGGAGCCAGCCTTGTGCATTGTAGAGGATGTAGGTCCAGAGATGGAGCCACTACACGAAGCTGAAGAGGTTGATATTGAGTCTTTAGGAGCTGCTGCCGCTGCTCCCACATGTGAAGATGCAACCCTTTTAACTGTCTGTACAAGCCAACCATCAACTCAGCCAGCAAGCAAGACTGATTCACCTTCTAAGAAAAAAGGTACTTGGGTTAGGTTGTTGGTGTGAGCTGGCACTTTGGGAAAAAGAATTGAGGTTGCCCCTGCTATAAACAGTGGTCTTAGCCTGGAAGTTTAATTTCTCTGTCCTCTCCATCCCTTTGTACAAGGGGATCCCCTCTTCACAACTCCTGGATTTTACTGGAAATTGGAGTTATAATTTCCAGATGTTTGAACGTTCGCCATCTGTTGGTGAAAACAGGTATAGCACACTGGCCATAAAAATTATGCTGACAACCACAGTATTTTTGTGGACTTCAGTCCACAATTTGGGTGCAGTGTTGCATGACTGCGCAATTGTCAGTTAAAGTAACGCAGCACCGTAACGCAAAAAATGGCCTGATCATGAAGGGGGGTAAATCCTCTGGAGGGCAAGTGGTTAAAAATATTTTAATGCAAACAATTAATACAGAAGATGCCTTTTATTTGACTTCAAGTGCTGTGCAGAACTCATGTACAAGCAATGCGCCGGTCACATTAAAATCAAGGTAGAAGTTTTGCAAAGTTATGTAAACAGAGCACTGCTGTCAGTTTGCTGGGTTGCCCCTGTGCCACTTACCACTCAGTTGTTTGTTTTTAGGAAACTGGCAGCAGCTGAGAGACAAAACAATATGTCGATTTCAGCTCCTGAAGCAATCTGTTTTTTTTTTTTTTAATTCCAGAGAGGGAATGCAAACGACAGAACAGTAAACACTTATGCTGAGCTAAATAATGACATGTATTAATGCATCTCCAGCCTGAACACCTCCCTTTTCCCATGTTCTGTACTGCTGAAGCACAGGGATGTTTGCATACTTCACATCAAAACAAATTCTCCATTCAGGTTTATATCCACACATCCAATTTCAGGCTATCTAAAGCTCGGCTTCCACTTTAAACAATTGTACAGATTTTCCAAATGAAAAAAACTCACCAAAAACATCAGCTGGAACTTAGGCGTTCCAGGTTTTGAAAGATTTATGTGGATGATGGAGCATGGTTATTATCCTTGGTCTTATCTTGGCATCACAATAGCAAAAGTATTCAAATTAGTGGGACTGTAGATTTTTACATGAAGAACCATCATTTGTTCCAGGCACAGGCCTTCGTGTTCCTAGAACCAGGATTCTTAAAGAGGACCTAAATTGTATCTGAGCACCACAAACTGAAAACGCTGTTTTAATTAATTTTTATTATTTTATTAACCTCCTTAGCGGTATTCCCGAGTGTAGCTCGGGGTAAAATTTCTATACCAAGAGCGGTAACCCCGAGCTATACTCGGGCTTACCATGCGGCGTTGCTCTGGGAGTCCCTGCAGCACTTACCTTGTCCTTCGCTCCCGCGATGTGTCCCCTGCAGCGTCCCCGGCCATCTCCTCCGGCCGATGCCGGCATCCGGCTTCTGTGTTCCGGTCCCTGTGACGTCGGGACGTATGGGCGCCGGAACTGGCGGGAAATTTGAAATTTTTAAAAAATGTAATTTTTGCTGTTTCAATGCATTTCACATATATTTTGTCCCTACTGCTTTGTCCTGTGCCCTGCTTGCATTTTGAATGTTCTTTCTGCCTGGAAACTTAGAAAAGCCCATGGCGTCCAAAAAGCGTCCCTTGTCGTCAAAAGTGGTTTTAGAACAGCAATAGTAAATCAGAACCACTTGCAGAATTGAGTGATAATGATTCGTGGGGAAATTCGTCATCAGACACTGAAAACGATTTTGTGACTTTGCTCAGCGATGTGCGAATTTGCCTCTGTATTTCAAATTTCAGTGTTTTTGGTTTGATTATATTATTGAATTAAATTTATTATTATATTATTATTTTTTATGATTATTTATTAAATTATAATTTATGATTTCGTGTTTCAAGTTTTATCATACCCGGGATGTTTACTAGACTCTTGTTCAGACAGATTTCAGTGAGTTATTCCTAAAAATTACAGGCCTACAATAAAAAACTACATATTTCCATGCAAAAAAATGGTACCGCTTTCAGCACAAAAAATCGGAAAGAATCATACCGCCAAAGAGGTTAAAGAAAACTCCCCCACCCATCCATGTCTCCATACTTTTTTCAAAATGATTTCTCAACAAAATAAAGACTGCCTAGCATTTCTGCCTGTGATCATCTTGAGTAAGGGCAGATGATTCATGTAGCATTTACTACTTAAAATCCATCTGCCCTTAGCTCAGGTTTACAGGCAGGAAGGTGTGCCTAGCTGGGAAAACCCCTCCTCCAGATGAAAGAAAACAAAAAGTCCAAGTAGATGTTAAAGTGGAACTTCACCCTCTCAATCAACATGGACTATTTTTAATCCTTATGCTACTAGCATTAGTAAATAAATAGGAAAGTATATCATATATTTATTTGTTTTTAAACTTTTTTTTTTCACATTTATTCAGTCGCTTCCTGATTTCCAGGCCTAGGTAAATGATGTCATACATCCCAGGAGTCTTCAGTAGGGGAGGAGGGGTTTTCTTAGTTAAGCACACCTTCCTGCTGGCATGCCTAACTTATGGGCAGACAGATTCCAGGATTCCTGCCCTTACATAAGATGGCCACAGCCAGAAATACTAGGGGGGGTGCTTTTCAATGTGATGTCTTGGCAAACAACAGCATAGATACATGAATGGGGGAGATTGCTTTGATTATTATAAATGAATTAAACAGTGTTTTTGGTTTGTGGTTCTTAGATACAGTGAAGTTCTGCATTAGGGACATATGACTACATTATCGCCTAGGCCATAAACCAGGAAGCAACTGAAGAAATGTAAGGGCCAGGTCATACCACAAAAATGCACTCCGGATGCATTCCGAATACACTTCTGCTTACAGTTCACACCACACTTTGTTCCAGTGCTTTCTTGCTGTGTTCCAGTACAGTTCTGTGCAGAAAAAATGCAGCATTTTCTCTTATTTTTTTTTTTTTTTTTTTTGTTTTTCTGCACCGGAAACTGACTGAAACTGACTACACTAGGGTGAACTAGGGTCATTGGAATACATGGAAAACACTGTGCATGCATTTTTGATGCAGAAAAAAATGCACTGGACCACATCTGGTGTGAGCTAGAATGCGGTGCGGGAGAGCCTTGTTCCCGTGCGGCTTCCCGAACCGCATTCCGACTGCAATGCCCTTGCAATCTGCTGCGGGAGTGAGTTAAAGTTAATGACACCCCGAACACAGGTCGCAAACGCATTGTGTACTGTGTGATGCGGATGCCATGCATTTAAAAAAAGTAGTGCATGGAGTTCCAATTACTGACAATGTAACCCACATATCATCTGATACATCAACTTGGTTTCTATATTTTATTTCAGGTGTAAAAATTCAGGGAAACTGTTTCAATTATTTTTAAAATATCGAGAGATCTAGTTCCATACCCCCATCATTTTGGTTCATCATTTGGTACCTTCAAGTGGAATGGATACCCCTGGTGAGGAACCCTGATCTAGATCCAAAATTAGCTGGATAGAATGAGGGTCATATCATCTTTGCGGATGTAGAAAAGCACATTAGGTTTTCATTAGGCTGAGAAAATGCTTACCCTAAATGCTATGCCGTTTTTCCATTGCTTTGTCCATTTTATAAATGCATGGCCCATTTACTTGACAGGCGGTAGCACCCCACCAAAAGCAACATGGGGTGTAATTCCTGCTGTGGCATGTGTACACCTTTGGCTTCTTCCTCAGCAGCTAAAGGGGTTAGGGATTGTGGGGCATAAAACTGTGATTCAACCTCAGGGTTTTACAACCTCCCAACTTTACATGTGAACAAGCCCTTAGGGTGCTACTGCGATTACAAGAACTCCTTCACAGGTGCAGTAGGCACTGCAGCTTCTCTGCAAAGGCATCCCAGTGCGTTTGACAGGTGGGGAGGAGGCGATATGTTGCCTTCTCATCACCCGATTTAAAGCCATGACTGTCATGCAATGCATGCGATTGTGACACAGTAGTTGGGCATTTAGAGGTTTAAATCAGGTGTGAGGAAGCGGCACTGTGCCCGGAGAACTTTGACTTCTTCCATGTTGTTCCCGTAGATCTTCACCTCTTTAAGGTTGCCTACCCCTGATCCACAGTATATGTACAGAGGAATGTGTTAGTGTTGTATATGTACTAATCTCCAATTTCTGTATGTTCTCTATTTCAGATAAGCGGAGCAGACATCTTGGGAAGGATGGCGTCTACTTAGATGACATCACCTGCATGGAGCCTGAAATTGCTGCATTGTATTTCCCAAAAAGGTACTTGAGCTTCCTTTTTCTTAAACATATACTTTTAATTTTCATCTACAGTGAAACCACAGCTAACAGATACAGAGGAATGATTTTGCATGTGAGAATATTTGTAAAGTAATTAACATGCTCCAGCAGCCCAGTGGCTAAGTGGTTAGCACTTCCACCTGGCAGTACTAGGGTTGTTGGTTTGAATCCCAACCACAATACTACCTGCATGGAGTTTGCATGTTCTCCCTGTGTCTGCATGGGTTTCCCCCAGGTACTCTGGTTTCCTCCCTCACTCCAAAGACATGCTGGTAAGTTAATTGACTCCTGTCTAAATTGGCCCTAGTATACGTACTGTATGTATGAATGTTAGGGACTTTAGATTGTACATTCCTTGAGGGTTAGAGAGTGATGTGAATGTACTACAATATATATAAAGTGCTGCGTTATACAAGTTTCTGAAATAATAATAATGCTCTGTGATAAACATGAGATATACCCTTTGGCTTCACAGCAACACGTTTCAGATCCCAAAGTTGTACAGACTTGGTGTCGCTGCTCTGCCTGCTCTTTGGACTACTAGTGAACATCAACACACTCATAGCAGTCACCTGAACTCTCTTCTATTAGCCCTGCTAAATACCTTCTTGTCTCCACTATCTACGTAGAATGTACTGTATGCATTGTAAACCTGATATCAGGTTTCTGGTTTTTCCAGTAGGGCTGGCCATATTTTATGCAATTTTCATTCCTTCAGCCACAGGCTGAAGGAAAGAAAATTGCTGGATTCCCCCATCAACACAGTCAGTGTTGATGGGGGAATCCCTCCCGCTGCACTATTGTATTCTGACAGCAGGAGGTTTCTCCACCATCAGAGTACAATTATCACTGATGCCAACTATAGCCGGCAGCAGTGACCAGTACTTCCAGCCTGTCGTTTTTTTTTTTTTTTTTGTTTTTTTTTTTGTATGATTGATAGATTGACTTCAGTACATCCAGACTGCCCATAGATGGATTGAAAGTCGTCCAGTTCTTGCTGAACCAGCCGAATTTCGATCCATCTATGCCTGGCTTAAATGAGCAACAAAAATGTTTCTATGCCTTTATAAATGAATAGACTAAAGGATGTTCATGAATTTTAATCATTAACTGTCCATGGTAATAGAGGCTTCCTGGAAAGATATCACTCTAAAAGTACTGCTGCTTAAAATGCATACATTTATAGTCATACCAATAACTTCAATAGGAATAAGTAGAGAAGCATCAATAAAGCCGACAGACATTATATTGTTTTCATTTTATTGCAGTGCAAAGTTTAGTGGCTTAGTACAATTGACTAATGGTAGTTTAGTAGTGCAAATATAAGTCAGCACCCCAAACACTTCAATGTAACAAGAGTATTTTGTATTGAAAAAATTTCATAATAGTAAAAAAAAAAAAAAATAATAATAATAAAAAATAAAATAAATTATATAAAAGGCCTTAGAGCAGCAAAAATCAGATGGTAGTTGGAATAGCTGGTCAGAGCTGTGCAGGACAAATCGTTATCCCCTATGCCTCCTATTATTCTTCCCTGCATTTGTAATTTGATCATTTTTTCTGCCGTAACACTCACTTTTTTTTCTTTGTATCCTTTCAGTGGTGACCCGCCTGTACCAGGGAAAATTGCAGCAGAAAATGGTGTCCGTTCCACCAACCAGTCACCTCAGTCTGGGGGAAGCTCTGGGGTGGACAGCGGAGTAGAAAGCATCTCTGATGGGATTCGAGATCTGCCCTCTATTGCTATATCATTATGTGGTGGCCTGAGCGACAACAAAGAACTGACTAAAGGTATACTTATAGAGCCTATGAACTCTAGGCAATTATGAAGACCGTCTTTCCCTTCTGAAATACAGCAAAAAAAATTACATTTTGTAAAGTCGGTCTTGTGCCCTCCATACCTCTGGCACTGCACAGCCATGCAGGTGACTGGTTTATTTACTGGGTTAGTAATACAGATTCTCGTGTCACCTCTCTGCCTCCAGCTTTGACAATGGATAACCAATCTGCATCATTGCCTCCAATAGGCAGGGAAACAATGCAAGAAATGGTAAAACTCAGGCAGAAAGTAATACAGAAGTTTCCCTGGCTATGTATTGTGCCCTACTGTAGGCTTTAAATCTATGTATGAATTTCAGGTGCATGTGTAGCTGTTTGCCTGAAGCTCAATATTAAAAGGGAGATATGGGATTTTTGTTTTTTTTTTCAAAATCATACTTACCTAGGTGGATGCAGCTTCGCCCCCCCTGCTGCCTCTAAGTGTGAGAACTCCGCGATCACATGTCCACCGATTGCTTCATTCTCACCGCTGCTGTAAGCAGAGAGCGGTGACTGTCAGTCATCACTGTCTGCTCTGCCACCCCTGCACTCACTGGCGCTGGGAGGGAGACTCTGGAATGAATCCCGACTTTGAAGTCCAGGATCTTTCCCCAGCCTGAACCAGCTGAGTGACACTGCAGCCTGCTGTCAGCTGAAAACGGGTCACAGGAGGGCAGAATGAATTGCACTCCTGTGATCCACAGAAGGAAAGCCAAAAGAGCTTTGGCTGTACTTCTCCTTTAATGCTCCCAGTCAACTAAAAGGTAGGCATAGATGATGTGGACACAGGAAAAATGGTTTCAGCAGCTGCAACTACGATCAGGCTCCAAAGCTGGCTATACGCTATACAGTCTGATTGTACAGTCTCCTTTAGATCTATCATCAACTCTGTGCTTGATTTGCTACAAAGGAAATAAATTGTGTAGGTTGGTCCTTATAATATTAAGTCCTGCTACTGATGAATCGAAATTGAGCTCGTTCAGCTGGAACTGGCTGAATGTTGATCCAGTTGTGGGCAGGCTGATTGCACAGAAGTTGATCTCTCAGTTGACTTTTGTACAGCCATCCTGTTGGTTTTTTTACTCAATCAGTGCCACGGACTATAGCTGGCAAGACTGATTATATTCTGATGCGGGGTGTGAAGAATGCAGATGTCAGACCCCCCCTGCCCTTCTCACTAACTTGTGAAAAAGGACTGGCCAATCTCTCACCACACTCACTTATGGAACAATGCCACTCTCGGCTGCACCCTGCACAAAGATTTTTCCAGCTCACAGGACCATGATCTAGGTTCCAGTAGCCTGAGAGCAAATGTCACTAGCAGGGGCGGACTGACAACCCATGGGGCACCTGGGCAATAGGGGATCATGGGGCCCCTGTGTCCTTTCCCAAACTCAAAAAATCCTATGAAAAAGGTACCAGGGGCATCTCATGGGGCCCCCTACTGACCCCGGGCTCTCAGGCAGTGTCCGAGTTTCCAAATGGTCAGTCTGCCCCTGGTCACTGGGTTAAATTAATTAAGCAATTAACTCTTTAAGCTACCGCCATCACCTTTTTACCGAGAAGGAGGAAACTCACAATCTTCGCATTATCAACTATGATTTTAGAATAAACGTGTAACACACAGTCACCACAGAAAGGTATGTTCAGAGATTTGTAATACAGCAGCACTCTTCAAGAGACAGGGATTCTTTTAGTTTTCATTAGCGCATTTACAGACAATTTCAACACTTTTCAAAATAGGGTTTAATCATGAAAAGGGTAAAATGGTGCAAATAAAATAATTTCATAAACAAAGATATATTACAAAGTAGCAAAGAGAACAAGCAACAACAAGAGGTGAAAAAAGTAAACACTTGGAAAGTCCTTGGTTTCAGCAAGTTAAGTCAATGGGTGAGCAAGGTGTTATCGGCTCTTGGAACTTGACTGATGTTCCTTGGTTGATGGTACATGAGAGCTTCTAAATGTACTGGCATTCCCTGTCTCTGGTATCAAAGGGGTGCTGACAGAGACCATCTGACCAATTAAGCGGCTGAGGATTGGCCATGATGGTGTCACCCTGTTTGACTGTATCATGGCGTTCCCTTACACACAGTTTTATACTAATATTAATAGCTTCCAATATGTAATGTTTGCATTCTGGAAACTGGTAGAATTTTTTGTTCTGCATTATATTTTGTGTCCAGGGACACCAAACACAGTATATCAGATGGGCCTGTCACCCAGGAGCTATCTGACTGCTATCTAACCTTCTGTATACTATAGCTTAGCCATGTATAATCTTGATTTGTTTGTAATGATTTTCCCCATTCAAATATATACTTAATGTTGGTATGTCTTGATTCTGTCTGATTTTTAGAATTTTGTGTAGTTTTGACATGTTGAGTTGGGCAGCACAGGGGGTCTCCAAAAGGTGACTACATTACAATCCCCATTTTCTGGCATGTTCTGTGTCCCTAGTGTTTTAATTGGTATGCAAACCATGGTTGACAGAACTGAAGGATTTTGTCATAGTTTTACGATAGGTCAGAGAGAAGGGTTAATCAGATTCAGATTCTTTTCTGGTCAGTAGAAACTAAAAGACAACCTGCCAGGACTTCAGTTAGCAGTTTACAGCTCTGACAAAGGCCTGTGTGCTGGTGTCTGCTGTCCCTAAGTTGGGATAATAGGCTCTTTTGAAGTGTGTTGAAAGTTAAGGCCATGAATTCGACATCCAACGTCTCTTGCTGACGCGTTTCGTCACTTCCTGACTTCAACTGAGGCTCAGTTTAAGTCAGTAAGTGACATTGGACGTCGACAGGAAGTCACGAAGTGGCCATCTTGGAAGAGGTTTTGTCCATAGGAAATTGCCAATACTTATAATGCTGGTTTTTCACTCTGTTCATGTGAGCATATTTTATGAGATTAAAGGTTTTTGCTTATGCTTATACTACACTATATTTGGTTATGTTTTACACATGTGATGAAGCTGATACAACCTGGACATAGAATGGAATTAAGAAACATCTTTATACGCCATTCACTTTCAACCATCTGGTAAGGTGCATATATAGAAAAGGTGAAGACAAGGGGGTCAACTTGCACAGCGTGAGCATTTGATAAGTGGAGGGCGCCCGTAAATGTTTGGAAAATTCCTTCCTTGTACAAATACACGTTTATAATCGCTTATCTGGTAAGGTGTATAGGTGGTGGTTTATTATTCACCTGTCATAATTGTGATTTGGAGAGCACAGTATTTTATGGGGAAGTTATAGTTACACCCTCACTAGGTGGAGTGTGTGACACATTTGTGCACTTTATTTTGAAGTGGTTTTTAAAGTGTTTTTCACATATTTCCACATTTATTGAGAATACGGTTTTGAAAGTTATCATGCGTTTTTTGATGTACTATTTGCGATTTTGTTTTTTGTTTTTTTGAGGGAATTTCACAGAAGAAGAGTTGAAAAATTTTTTTTCCTTTTAACCACTTCCAGTCCGGACACTTTTACCCCCTTTCTGACCAGGGCAATTTACAGCTTTCAGCGCTATCACACTTTGAATGACAGTTGCGCGGTCATGCAACACTGTACCCATATGAATTTTTTAGCATTGTTTTAAAACAGATAAAACTTTATTTTGGTGGTATTTATTCACTGCTGGGATTTTTATTTTTTTTTTGCTATGTAAATGAAAATGTCCAAAAATTTTGAAAAAAAGTGTTTTTCTTATAAAATTTTGCAAATAAATAATATTTCATTATAAATCTTGGCCAAAATTTATTCCGTTTTCTTTTTAGTAAAAAAAAAATAAGCCACATTAGTTTATAACCAAAAATTATAATTTTTAAAAACATTTTTTTTTGTACATTTTTATTTATTTTTTTTTTATATTATTATTTATTTTATTTTATTTTTTTTTTACATACTGTCACCCTAGCAGTACAGTGTCACCATGGTGACACTGTACTACTTGTGAGGGGTGATGAAGATTTTTTTTTTTTTTTTTTTACACTGATTGATTGCTTTTACACCCATATAGGATGTAAAAGCAATCATTTCTCTTTCTCTCTGTCTGCATTCTTGCAGCCATTGAGAACTACTGAGTGAGCTGTGATTGGTCACAGCTCGTCACATGGTACAAGGCTGTTGTGAATAGCCTTGTACCATGTGACCTCTGTAATCATTCACAGATTTCACACGTAGTAAGCAATGATGTCAGAAGTGACATCTTGCTTACTACTTTGCATGTGATCACTGATTTGCCAATCGGTGATCACGATAGGGATCTCGTACAGAGTTCCCGTCCGACAACCGGTATTTCACTGTGTCCGGAGGACACAGCGGGCACCGGATCGCGGTGCTGTGCGCTCCCGGGGAGTGCACACAAGCAGGGTGCGGGGAGGCCGTTTATAAACGGCCACCCGACCCTGCAGTGCCGCTGTCCGGCCGTTTATATACAACGGCCGGTTGGGAAGTGGTTAAAGGAGGATTCCTGTTAATTTGGAAGATTATTTATTATATTATTATACAGTATTTATATAGCGCCAACAGTTCGCTCAGTACTGTACATTACAATGGGAGACAATACTTGTGACAGTACAATACCAATACAATGCGATACAAGAGGGGTTCGAGGGCCCTGCTCTTTCGAGCTTACAATCTAGGAGGAAGATTATTTTATAAAGAAAACATTTTTGTGGGGTTTCACGTGTTTCTATAGAGACAATGAACTACTGGACTTTATGACTTTGACTTTTGGGGGAGAAAGGATATTTCAGCATTGAGGGCATTTCACAGTATTCTTTTTGGGATAGCACTGATTTATTTATTATACATTACAGGGAGAACTCTCCCCACTGTCAGAATACATTAGCTCCATGGGGAGGGATGGAATCAACTTGCTGGTTGAAAGAAAAAAAAATCAATTTATGACCTGCTTTAGTTTTAGTAACTCTAAAAGATATTGTACAGAAATTGTACAATCAGATTGTATAG